TTACTGCTGAATACTCTTTCTTTTTTCAGTCAGCAAAATATGATAATCAGTAAGTTATATTTTAAGTTTAATTAGCTAATATTTTTGCAGCATAAAAAAATTTTATGTTCAATTTAGTAAACAACTAAACAGATAAATACTATAAAAGGTGTATGAATATGCAGTTATTAGACCTAAAAAGCATTTCCTTTAAGTGGTAATAAAATAAAATAAAATAAATTTTTTTTTCAAACAACAGAAAATGAATCATTTTGCAATTAATTTTATCTCGCATATTTTTTAATCTGTAAACTAAAAAATTAATCTTTAAAATTAGCATTTTTTTTCTTGAGAAAGCAATTTACTTGTTCAGTTGGATTTTGTCCCAGTGATCTCATTGCAATGCCCAACTCTTTAATCGAAATTGTACCGTTACCATCCTTATCAAACATTGTAAATGCTTCTCGAAATTCATCAACTTCTTCAGAGGTTAACTGTAAAGCAATAGTAATAAAAATAAGCTAAAGTATTAGATGTATCTGATAAATTTTGACTATTTACTACAGAATTTGAAGAAGGAAAAGTGTTGTTAAGTTTTGCTACGCTTTCAGCAGTTAACAAATGATAGTTTGTAACAAACCTGTTTGATGATCTCTTCACTGTATTGCATTAAGTTCGACATGCCTTGCGGTATTGCACTTAGTGCCATAGTCTAAACTTATAAAGAAATTTAGAGATTAAATGTTAGCTTAGAAACAACTACAGACATTATTAGAATCCAAATCGTAATAAGCAATTTGTATGCTTTAAAACACTTGAGAACAGTGATCAATTTAAAATAATTATTTTACAGTTAGGTAGGCCTACTACTTAAATAAGCAACAGTTTAATTTAAGATTACGTTTAATAAAAAAATAAACTACTCTTTGGTTATTTAATTTATCAATAAAAGAAAAGTATGTCAAAAAAAAAAGAAATTATAAGCTATTCTTAGTTCAGATTTCAAAAACATTATTTTTTTTAATGCTATTTTTCAACATATTTGCTTAACAACCTACAATAAGTTAGTTAATAATAGTTTGTTGACAACGATATAGGCAGTTTTTTTATGCCGTCAAATTGTGGTTAATTTTAATTTATACTAAGTCATAAAGTACTTTTTCTTGGTGTCCGTTTTAGTGTTCGCAAAAATTTATGATTAATTTTATTTGTAACGTAATATGCGAAAAACTGATCACAAATAAAATCTTTTTTTTTTTTTTTTTT